TGACAAAGAAGGAGGAGAATACAGGGTCGCAAATCACAGGGTTGATAGATCAGGTCCCGATGGAAAGAGGGAACTTGATGCACTTATTCAGGAGGCTGCAGCACTCGGAATAAAGATGCCCAAAGTGAAGGACCTTGCTCCTGACCCACAACAATTTCAAAAGGTTGGATATCGGCAGATTGAGGTGGCTTGCGATAGAGGAAACATCGAGATAATTCCACAGTATGGAGTTACATTCTATGTGGAGTACTGGAATGGACCGAAGAGAGATGCAACTTTCACGGATCCACCAAAGATGAACCCAGCAATTCGCATCGACAAGCTCAGCGAGGAGAGTCAGTGGGTCAACGAGATTAGCCATAGACTCAATAGACTACTCAGGCATGGAGTGGGAAAGCATAATGGGATTCAATCGCACCGCGGTCGAAAACCTCATGTATCCCCGAAGTGCAATGAGGGTGGATGGGTGAACATCGATGAGATCCTGGAATATGATCATGTCTTCAACGATGGTGTCAATATCAGTACTATCTCAGGTACTCAACGTGAGCAAGATACCAAGACAGAGCGATACCAGTATTTATGCAAGGCGATGTGGCATGCAAAGAAGTTGCAGAACAGAGTACGCTATCAGATTGCCGCCATTCGCATCTCAAAGGAGGATGTCTCACTCGAAGAGGAAAGGCAATACTGGGCAAACCTCATGTTTTACGGCACAGACGCACCGTCATTTCTGAAGCATGAACGTTGGATCGTTCCTTGTGCAATTCGAGCTGTTGCCTCTCACAATTCTGGAAGAGAGACTGTTCTTGAAGAGGATGTGTCAATATATCCTGTGTGGACTTCACATCTCATCCCAGAGAATGTGGCAACGCAGCTTGGAGGAAGCTTTCACATGACATCGCTTTCCAATATTGAGTCAATCATGAAACTAGGAATTGTCCCTGGTGGAACGGATGGATATAGAGGTAGTGTTTTCTTCAACCACTTTGCGCCGTGGGATGATCGATCATCGAAGATTCTGAGATCAAGATGGCCAAGAGTGGGAATGCCCGTTTGCCTTTATGTTCCAATCATGACTTTGAGGAAGCTTGGGGGAAGAATTTCGGAGAATTCCTACACTGTTGTTTTTAGAGAAGTTCCATGGAGATGTGTACGAGGTGCTTGGTATTGGGACGACCATGTTCAGGCATGGAGGAGACTCCTGCTGGGAAGCACCGGAGAGCAAGTTGTTCTAGCGGCGCGTCATGGACTTTGGGTTGCTCAGAAGCATACCATCCTCGAGAGAGCCGACGAAGTCACGAAGTCAGCCTCGGCGACAGATGACAACGTCCAAAAGCTCGTGTCCCTTATCGATGAAGTAAAATTCGATGACAATGGAGAGCTGATCGAGGATTCCATCAGTGAGGAAACTTGGGACGAAATCATCTCCAGAACATGTGAAGGATATCGCAACGTGGATGGCAATATTTTGTGTCCATCATGTATGCATTTGACTTCTTCATCTTTGTCCGTGTGTCTATCTTGTCAAGGCAGGCTACTCTCGTGTGGTATTCGCAACACTGTCATTTCCGATTCACCCGTTGATCTTGTGACCGACGATGAAGAGGAAAAGAAGGAAGAGAAGGAGCCTGAAGATGATGTTCAAGATACTTTGGACCAGGCCACTATGGACGAGATCAGAAAGGCTTGGGAAGAAGACATCGCTCAAACTGAAGCAGCTGACGACGACGAGGACATGGACAATCTAGATCCTTCCAAACCGTCTGATGGTGCAGAAAACTTCAAGAGTGACAATGTCGAGACCCCATCTTTCAATGAGGACGAGATCGACTACGGTCGTGATTCTGATCTAGAAGATGAAGACGAACGAAACGTGATCATCGAGATCCAGAGGAGCACACAACAATATGAGGGGAAGAAACGTCAAGATGGTGAGCCCGAGGATGAAGACGTCACCGACGACTTACATCCGGAGGCGAATCGACCGACAGATCGTGATGAACCGGGATACTATGCACAGCATGGAGCGACCGAGTTCAATCCCGAAGAAGGAAAAGACAACGAAGATCTCCCCATCTATTGTCGAGTACCGGAACCTCGAATCTATGCGCATCAAGAGAGAGCCTACTGTCAGGACGTCTCCGTGAAAGCATCGGGTTTGATGGATAGGTATGTGGTCAAATGTGTGCTGAGCATGATCTCCCTGATGTACAAGAGCTACTATTGCACCAGCCTTACCGACTTCAAAGCAAATTGGAAAAGGAAGCGTCTGGATGTGATAAGCAAGTTCGGTACAGGAGATTCCACTGAAATCGATGACGATGGGAGACCATTGGATCCAACAGATGAGATGATGTTAATCTTTGCCAACGACAACAATATTACAACTGAGGAGGCCTGGCACCGATTCAGAGGAGAGCAATTCATTTGCAAGGTGGCACTCATGATCCTATCATTTGGTCATACTCCGCAATCCTTCAAGGAGGAATATGGCAACTTCGAACACTCCACCAACTTGACTGATGCCCAGCTTGAGGAGTTGAAAGCGAAGAAAGCCAGCGCAATGACTGAATTGGTACAGAAGTGCATCCATGCGATTTATGGTTGTCGGACATATTCTTACTTTAGAACCGACGTTACATCACCCAACCACAAGGTGATCGATCCTCTGGACATCATGTACTCGAGAATGAAGAGCAAATGGGAGAAGTCTATTCTGTTGATCATTGATCAACATGAGATCAGGTTGCCCCCACAAGCTCAGGAAGTCATAGAGTCAATGGCCAGAAACCCCAACGTTGGACATACAGAGAGATGGATGAGCGTGGTAGAACATAAGCATGTTCAAGCTCTTACCAATCGTCTAGGCTTTGGAGATAGGGCCAAGGAGATTCAGGGCAAGAAGAAGCAGGCAGCCAAGGCAACAGCTAAGTCAACATCAACGACTAAGTCTGAAGCGAAAGCAGCATCTTCGTCAAGAGCTGAGGCAAAGCCAGCATCTACACCCAGAACCGAGGCCAAGCCGTCGTCAGCACCAAGTGAGGAGTCAAAACCTTCAACAGCACCTAAGAGTTTCGGGCCCTCATCAACAGAGGAGAACAAGGTGAAGGCTGCTCCAAAAGCCAGACCACATGATAAATCACCATCCAATGCTACCGATGTGTTTGAGCAAGCTTTGCAGGAAGATCTTGCCGCCAACGCACATGCAGCAGAAGGTACAACTTCTTCATCATCCCGAGGACATTCCAAAGGAGGAGGCCAATCTGGAACATCTTGGAGGCCGGCGCTAACGCAAGAACGTCGCGAAGTACCTCAACCTTCTGAAAAGGGGAAGGGAAAGAGCAAGTCCAAGGGAAAGTCCAAGAAGGGAGAAGATGATCGGTGGGATGCTCAGGGCAGCTGGGATCATCGTGGATGGAGAGGTTATCACCAGTGGTGATTTCTTTGAACGACTATGAGGATACCATGCAAACCAGGGAGGAAATCATTCACCGGATGTTTATCTGACCTGAAACGCTGTAAGTGTATCATTGCAAATCATCGGATTAACGATTTGATACCATGAGCATAATGGAAGGCAGACAGTCACCGACTGTCTCTCCGACTTGCCGTTCTGTAAGTGTATCCAAATCAAAATCTACATCTTTTGAGAAGTGTGAAGTCAGTTGCCGATGTGACATCTACGTGGAAGTCACCAGTTCGGATCTACATCAAAGCGATGCTCTTTTGAGTGGATACTGAGCGAGGCCTCGTGACTGTCTCACTTGTTCAATTCGATTTTTTTTTCAAAGGTTCTGAGCCACAGTTGCACACTTTATATGTAAAAGTCCGCTTTAGTCCAGCATGTTTCGTAGTATGAGCCTCATATGAGTCTCGCGGCAAATCATACAATTTCTTTGTAGCACTTACATCCCTAAATTTTCGTGTGTGATCGGAACATATTGTTGCCGTTCACAGGGGGGGTGCGAATGGAAGTGCAGCGACACGTACAGTGCAACTTGTACATATATATATATATACCATATGTACTTTGGCTCAAGGATCAAGCGACTAGAAAAGGTGCGGTTTCCGTTCCGACGCTACGCCGCTTATGGACCGTCAGTGATAGCTTCAAACTTCGCTGATTAAGATCCACTCGCAATTATATATATATATATATCATTTGAAATAATGATTTATGATCAGGATAATATATGTATAATATATCATGGATTGATTGCGTTCAAAAGTTGTTACTGAAAAAGATGACCGAGTTACATGTTTAATGACCAGACTGCGGTGATTCGGCAAGGCAGCGCTAGGTCGGGGCTGGGTTTTCTATAGTATGACCACGGTTTGTTGGTAGGCATGTGTGTGTTGCAAAGAGATGTGATCGATTGCGTGCAGCTTCAGGGCTTCCAGCTCCTCGGTTGCTCGCTCCCTCACTCGCTCCCTCACTCGCCCACTCACCCACTCACTCACTCACCAGTGATTGTTTGCGCTAGCTGCTAGCTGCTCGCCAGCTCCGCGCCACTGTTCTAGACGATGGTCCGAAGCTCTGGGTCCAATGGCTGGTTAAACAGAAGTGTCGCCTCAAGCCAATAGCAGCAAGAGTCCAACAGCTCTTGAAAAGCGCTAGATACGTTACGCAGTTTTTGAAGAATTGAACCTGCACGTCGACGCGTAGAATGCACGTGTTTTAACTTTATGGTTCAAGTTCGAAACATTTACTGTAGTTCAGGATATTTAGAAGCGGCCCCGCACCAGGATTGCAAAAACATTTTTTTTTGAAAAGATGCCAGCCGTCCATACATACATATATATATATATAACGTGATCAATCTTCACTAACAACATTTCTATCTCCGCAAGTACAAAGTCATTGATTTTGCTGTAGCTAGCCACTGCGCCCAGAGCACATTATATCAACACATTTACGGCACCACATATATTTCACTATGCCTCTCTGTTTCTGCCTATTTTGCACATCGTGCACTGTACAATCTGATGATTCTCAGGACGTCGTGGCCAGCGCATCTAAACAGCTGGAGGCCCAAGGGCTGGTTTGTTTCAGAGAGCATCAGATTGGCCCGTTGACATTGAAAATCTAGTCACGTGACTCTTTCAGACAAACAGGAGCGGTATGCTGATGCTCGCACCATGTCACTTACAGGCGTGCAAGAATGCATCAGCCCCTGGAGAACATGCATGTATATTATGATTAGTGATATGCCTCTTTGTTTTCAGTGTCCAGTGTATGGGGCCACGGGCAGAGCAAAACTACCATGCACACATGTTCATTCCATTTTTTTTTCGTAGAATCTTGCAAGTCAAATATGCTATCATTGATTCTGCCATGAATCATGAATTTAACACATCGGTAGCTCCCTGCAAAACCACACTGCCTTGTTCAATTAATACGCCTTATGACCCTGAGGGTCCGGCTATTCTCTAGTAAACTGTGCACCGCTTGCACTTATATCAATTATATACAGAATACGGTTCATGTTTTTTTGGCGCAGGAACTTTGTTGAGACTAGACTTGATTGTACATCCAGACATTGCTGTCCCCTGGATCCCCGGAGAACGCCGCACACGCTGCTTACATGCCATCGGAGTGAACCCGCATACCCTCAATGAAAAGCTGCAACAGCCATGATTAAGGACAACTTGTATGCTAACTACATACTACTTTCTACATCCACTTATATATATATATACTATCTACATAGCTTTTGTTTCCTCTTACTTACCCACGTATTTTCCTACATACCTACCTGCCTCGCTACCTGCCTACCTGCCTACCTGCGACTACCACTATCTAAGCTACTACCAATACTACCAATACTACCACTATCACTATCAGTATCACTATCACTATCAGTACCACCACCACCGCCGCCACCACCACCACCACTAGCACCAGACGGTAGGTTGCAACGAAACTAGGCAAATGTTTGTTCATGCGTTCATGGAAAACCGCAATGTCCAAGGAAAGCAACAATGGTGCACTTTAAATAACGTGAGTCTACGTGATCGGTGAGACATACCCCGACCAGTGCCCACACGGCAATCTCCCATAGCCAGATGGACCTGCAACTCTACAGGTTTACTATATAAGATATATGATTGCTGTATTATAAGTTCTATACGTTCAGTTCTATTTAATAGTTCTTTGGAATTGCAAAAAGAAAAAAGACCGTCGCGTCGATTTCGATTGATTCTGAAGAGTCGAAATGGGAGCAACACCTGTCTTGAATCACAGGAGCTCCGTGCCTGTTGCAGCGCTGCAGAGACAGCTCAAGCTCAGCTAACCAAAGTGTCGCAGGATTCCGTTTTGAGAGGTTGAAAAAGAAATAGCCAAGAACAGGCAGCTGCAGCTGTCCAGAACAAATCCACTGTTCAGACCAAGAGCTGCCCAGCTTCAAGGCATACTATTCATAGTACACCCTGTAACTTGTTGACGCCCATGTTTGCCATTCTTTAAATTTAAGATTGTGTGCCTTCCTTTCACCCAGTCTTGTCAGTATTAACAATCTTAGCACTTGTTGGCCCCGCTTGTGCCAGCGGCGTTGTTTGCGACTCCAGAGGAAATTGCGTTTTTGTTCGGCTTGGATGACATTAAGTAGGTATGCATGCGGGTTGATGTTTGATGTGTTTGGTGGGGGTTGGGGTTGGGGGCTAATGACGTTGGTTTGGATGTGCTTCGAAGATGATGTCACATGCACAGACGCTTTGGAAGACGGGGGTGCGGGGGCTGGGTAATTAGGGGGCCAATGACGTTAGTTTGGATGTGCTTCGAAGATGATGTCACATGCGCAGACGCTTTGGACGATGGGGGTGCGGGGGTCGGGGGTTGAGTAGGGGGCTAATGACGTTGGCTCGGATGTTCTTAGATGATGTCACATGCCTTCAAGGACCCATAGCAAGAAGGGTGCAAAGAACACGCCTGCAACATCGACAGGCTGATGCTGTATGTGAAGTCCTGGATGTTCGCAACAATGCCGACCAAAGATCGGTGGCAGGCGACGCGCCACTGAGAAAAATTTGCTTGGTATGGGAGCCGCCCACCGCATGTATGTCAGAGTGAGAAGCACGAAGAGTTGTTTCAGCAGAACGACATTGTGCAAAAAACGTTGTGACCGCCACGTAGAAGCAACACCATGAACACGCAGGCTGACTTGGAACGGCAATCGCAAGACGTGACTTTTTATTTTAACAAACACGAGACCAGTACAAAGCAACAATGGTGCTATCCCACCAGGAAACCCAAAATTCAACACAGAACCTGACCAGAGAGGATGAAAAGAAACCTGAGGTCTTGTAAAATACAGTATATATGTTAAGAACACATCGTTGTTGACACCAAAGATGAAATCGGAAAAAAACATGCATTACCAACATTCTTCAACCAAAACATACCAAAACCATCCTTGGCACAGTCGCCAAAAACTCCAGGGTCACTATATACGCCGTGGCGGCTGTGGCCTTGTTTGTGTGACCAGACTCTGTTTTCAGAATTTGCACTTACCGGAGGAGCTAGCTGAGTGCAGAGCGAACGCGGATCAGTTGCGTGCTGCTGAAGCAATGCGCCTGGCAGAGATGTCCCAGATTGCTAAGGCTACTGGTGGGTCTGCGTTCTGAAGGAAGCATAGTTAGAGATAACATGATACAATATCGTCGTCAGGATTAGTCAGGTATGTTTCTTTTGGGGGTGCTAAACGTTTGATGAAGGAAGTGCAGTGCAAAACTAACATTGAAGAGTTCGGTTTGGATTGAAGTTCCCATCAAAGTGGGTTTCCCCGTGCTATCAGGATGACAACGCACCATTGATTTGCAAATGTGATTTCTTCACACTACGCGCCATGTCTTCTTGGTCTGGAGGCTCGTGGCATAATGTCTTAATTACTACTACTGAAATTATACACCGGTGACAACTAACATTTTCGCAAAAACCAATGTTTTTTGGCATTTGTTAGTCTAGTTTCCGAGCGGACACCGTTGAGACTAACCTAGACCAAATTCAGATGTGCCATGGTGGGCCCCACGGGTACTTGGCATGGTCCATGTTAGCCTCCACCGGGCTATGTTGACCTGTAAGGCGCGGTCTATGTTAGCCTGCGTTCAGTTTCTTGTCAGATTTGCAGTTGGTCCATGTTAGTATCAAAATCGATCATGTAGATTGAGAGTGGGAAGGGTCCATGTTAGCCACACGCCTGACTCAGGTTTGTGGTAATTTTGTGTCAGTGTGGAGCAGCGACTGAGAGTGGTCTATGTTAGCCACATGCCTCATTCGATGTCTGGAAAACTTAGTGTCAGGTTGGACCGTGGACTGAGAGTAGCGAGAGTGGGAATGGTCCATGTTAGCCACAAGCCGCAAGCCTAACTCCGGCTTGTGGAAAAATCCCAAATTTTAGGAAATGTCTTCAAACATCAATGGAAGACAGGAAAGGAAGGAATTGGAGCAGGAACATAATTAAGAATCAAAAATTAACTAGCTACTTGTTACACTTTTTCTCCTCTCCCCCTGTCTCTGTGTCTATTCCCTTAACGGGGAGACACAGGGAAAGAGGGAACCCTGTCTCTGTGTCTACGACCTTCCGAGTTCCCTGTGTCTCCCCGTTAAGGGAATAGACACAGAGACAGGGGGAGAGGAGAAAACGTGTATTCTTAGTTATTTTCCTGCTCTAATTCCTTCATTTCCTGTCTTCCATTGATGTTTGGAGTCTTGTGAAGCAATCTGTGAAAAATGAAAAATTTCAAAAAAGAACACGTTGAAAAACCAATGATGCACCAGGTAGGCCCTACAGGTATGTGGCACGGTCCATGTTAGCCTCCGCCGGGCTATAGATGATAAAAGAGCTGTCTAGTTTGGCACCTGTCTCTCCCCATGAAATTTGTGATGACATCTGTCTCCCCACTGAGGCCTACTTGCGATGGCCTCCAACCAACTTGCAATGGCCTCCAACCTACTAGCAATGGACCCTTCTTTTGCGTTCTAACTTAGACCAAGGTCAGATAGTTAGGCCCTATTGGTGTTTGGCATGGTCTATGTTGGCCTCCACCGTGCTGAAAGAGCTGTCTAGTTTTGCACCTGCAGTACCTCGGTTGAGACTAACGTAGACCGTAGACCATGTTCAGGAGGCCGCTAAAGGTATGTGACATGGTCCATGTTAGCCTCCACCAGGCCATGTTGATCTCTATCGGCGCGGTCTATGTTAGCCTGCGTTCAGTTTATAGTCAGATTGCAGTTGGTCCATGTTGGTGTCAAAATCGATCATAGACTGAGAGTGGGAACGGTCCATGTTAGTGAATGCTAATACCGTTTCCCCAGGAAGTCACCGTTTCCAGTCGTCCATGTTAAAGCGCACGTGAATTTGAGTTCTGGTCTATGTTGTTTTTCCCCGGAGAACTATTTGGATCTAGTTGGAATGAAAGGAGAACTGATGAACGTGGATCGTAATCGAAACTTCCGGTGATGCCAGGAGCGTGACGAGTACTGCGCGCAAGCAGATGAACTGCGCGCATCTGCTGACACGCACCTTCTGCGGATATCCACGAAATCCCAGGTCCCGAAGTACCCTATCCCTGCAGATCCATTCAGGGGTTGAGCCAAGCCTGAGGCTTTTAGATACAGATAAAGTATGAGAACGTCTTTCTTTCACCCAGTCTGATCAGTAGTAAATTTCTTAGGGTTTGTTGGCCTTGTTTGTGGGACCAGATTAGGTTTTCAGAATTTTCTCTTACCGGAGGAACTAGCTGAGTGCAGAGCGGACACGGATCAGTTGCGTGCTGCTGAAGCAATGCGCCTGGCAGAGATGTCC